TGCCATGTAAAGCAGCTTCTAGAGTAACACAGAGGCTTCCCAGTAAGTGTCCTGGAAATACACAGTACCAAAGTCCCCGTGATAGCATGCACGGATCACAAAATTACTACAGCCCCTGAAGCCTGGTCTATCTAATGGCAGAGGCCAAATCTCAGAACCGCGATCAGTCCCGCAGCATCTGGTCACAGACATTTTAAGGCCATGGGCTGGTGGACTGGTTTGGGGATGCATGATACAGTGCCATGGAATTGGTGGGCCTCACTGAATGTGAACTGAGAGAGAGAATAAGATGCATTGTTTACCGACAGCAGTTTTCGGCCTCTGTGGGGCATACATCTTAGACCGCGGGGGAGACACTCGTTTTAAGGATCAAGTCACCTGTGCACTCCACTGAATTGTAAATGATAGGGTCTTGGTTGATATTCTGAACCTCACAGTCCCAGAGAATTTTTCAGTTAATGTAAAGTAAACCCACTGCCTCTAGGGAAATGTGCAGCAGTGTGCTTTAGTGCCACCGTTGTTTGTTCTTAGCGGTGGCCTTTCCCCACTGACTTCACAGTGTCATCAGCAGACTACCTAGCAGTTTCCCACAAGATGACACAATATGTACGCCAGCTCTAAATGGTCTCCGACAGTACACATGTGGATTGGCCACCTGAGAGCTCAATGGTCTGGGTGAATTTCGTTGCATGCCTTTGAACAGGGGGCATTTAGTCTGGGAGAAACATATACTGTGCTCTGGCAGGGGCTGCTGTAGAGAGCACTGGACTTGTAAGATCAGGGTCCATCCCAAACTGTCACTTCCCAGCTATATTGCCCTTGGCAAGTCACTTAACGATTCTGAGCTGCAGCTTTCTCTTCTAGGGTAGGGCTATTAATAACCTTCCTCTCAGGGCTGTTTTATGTGTGAAAGCAGTTTGTAAGCTCTCTTAGGAATTATTATTTTAGACCTCAGAAAGCCACCCCCAGGTCCTGCCCAGGAGACTGATGACAGGTTCTGCCGATAGGGCTTTCTCATTCAAAACTGGGGTTGGAAGAAGCTGCAAGCTTTTTCCTCCCAAAGACCAAGAAGTACTAAGGAAACGAAATAGTAACCCAGGGCAATAATGAAAGCATTTGCACCTTTCTACACAAAACTATAACTTAATATAACCCCTTCCCGCTCAAGAAAGATTTTCTTTCACACAGAACTAGCTAAAGGTAATAAGTTTTAACTGAATCACTATCTTTTGTTTTTGACTCTTTCCTTGTTAGAATTGGAGATCACGTACTGACATTTCCCACCATTTTAAGGTCATTATCAGCAGGCCAGTTAATTGGAGTATATTGTTAATGGGATAGGTACTGGGGAAAGGCATAAAGCTACATACCAATTGACAGAACAGTTTGTCCTTTGAATAAGAAAGTAAAAACAACAACAAAGAGCTCCTAAACGCTAAAACCTGGCCCTCAGAAAATCCTTCAGACTATTTTTTAAGGATGTTTAAATATTTTTTTTATAATCAGTTAAAAATCAGTTTTTGTTTTGTTTTTTAAGTAATATGTTACAAAAAACAAAACATATTTGGAAGAAAAATGGAGGGAGGAGGCAACATTTTCTTTTGTATTATAGTAAGGATTCATCTTGTGTGGAACCAAGGAGAACACAAGCCATAACGGCTAACCCTCTTGCAGAGTCAGAGGGAGCTTGGGGCAAAGTGTGATGGAGGGAACGGGAGACCTGAAGAAGTAAGGCGCTCCTTGATGCAGGTGATGTTTAAGCCGACTCTGGATTATCAGTTTGTAATGAATCTGTAAGGGAGTTTTAACACTAAGTGGAAGAGGTGACTATGGGGTCCTTTCTGATTATGGACCTAGAAGCAATAGAAAAATAGGGGGGGGGGCTTGCTCATTCTCTTGCAGGGGTTCAAGACAGGTGTGTTTGCTACAAGAGTGGAGTATGTGGTTATGAGTGAATCAGAATGTACATTTTGTATATTGTAAATAAAGCTTCCTGTTCATACTGTATGTGTTGTATTACATCTGGGCAACTCATCCTATCTTCAAATTATAAAGAAATGAAAAAGCAAATAACTGAATCAGCCTTCCTCTATGCCTTTTCCTTCCCATTGACCCTGAATATCTGGAAGTCCTTTCTTCTGTTAAAGAAATTCTGGAATCTGTGATACACAAAGCAGAGGGTCTTCTCTGAATGTAGTCCCTGCTTTCCTGTTGTTTCTGGTGCCTTAAATATTCTTCCCTCAACTCTAAATCAAGTCAATGCATTGATTCAAGATTTCTTACTAAATTTGACTCCTCCATGAAGCCTCACTGATGGTACTGGGAAGAATTACTCTTCCTGTCCTTAGATTCCTTCCTATGGAGTAACACTGAACATATTTGATCTTATTGTAGTTGGCCTGAATCAAAGTTATTTAGGAGAGGATTCTCATACAGTGATTACCAAATTAAATAAGTGAGTAAAGGATAAAGATGTTAGAAAGATAAAAGTAAAGAGAAAGTATGAACTCCTAAAGACAGTTCCTAACCAATCATGTAGGGAAGCTACTCACTTGGTCTAAAGAGCAACATCTCTGGGGACAAACATCTAAAGACAAAATAAAATGGAGGTGAATCTCAAAACCAGTCAGTCAGCAAATATTTATGTTGACCTATAAAGTATCAAAGACTCTTTTGCATATTCGGTATGGGAACTTGGACAAGAAATGTCTTATTCTTGAGAAGATAGGAGCAAAGGGAAAGGAAGGGTTGAGGAGACTTTATGAACATTTACCAAGAAGTGGGAGTCTAATAGATGGCAGATGTACTAGCTCACTTCTTGTTTTCATAATGACTTTGAATTTGGCAACATCAAAAACACTACAGGACATAGAGTAAGAGGACTGTTTTATGCACATGGGAGATCTAGCCTCATCTAGTGTTCACTCTCCAGGGTGTGAGTCCTTGGGAGAAACCACACTGAATATCAGTTTCCTTTGGGTGATTCGAATTCCATTTACTTTTAACGTTGAAGAAAGTATTTTCACCTAGCCTGACCCAAGGTGATTGCAATGTTTCATCCAGTAGATTGAAATAAAATTAGAAAATATTTTTGGGTCCAACTGTTCAAAGGAAAAGCAGAAAGGTGACTGGACTTGACACTATGTCAATAAATAAAGAAAAGTTAAAACAGTTATTGATGTCTGACCTAGAGGCAAAGGTTTAGAGATTAGGCTTGTTTTGCGTAGCTCCAGAGCCAGATTTTTGTTTACCATGAGGAAGAGCTTTTGTGGGAGAGTTGCCCTGGTGGTAGAATGGGCTGCTGGGACCAGTACTATATACTGGCAGGTCTAAGATGTGGGATGGTGACATGTCAGGGAAATAACAGGGGATTCAGAACCTTAATGTGTCATGATTCTGTGCTTGTCTACGAACAGCACTGGTGGCTGGGGTCAGTGATAGCCCTCTACACTGGTGTAGAATACAAGATGACATAGCGACACCTGTCTCATTCTTGGTAAGTCATCTATTCCTGGGATTGAGAGCTGAATGAGATTATGTTCAGTGCCAAGTTGACTGAACACATTTGTGGGTGGTTTAATAAGGCTCCTATTAGAGTATATTAGGTAAACATCTATCATAGCTAGATGAATGAAGTCTTCTCTCGCTCCTAAATGGACAGGTACCTCGGAAAATTAACAAAGACATACAGTAGGAAAGTATTAAGGCAAGCACCTATAGTTTTATAGAGGAAGTAGCCATAGGGCTTCCTCTGCTCAGGTATGCCTTTCTGCTTGTGGAATATTTACTTTTTATTAATAACAGAGGCTGGAAATAGAGATATTTATTAGTGTGGTTAGAGACTGCTATACGTTAAATAATCAGAAATAAAGAGCAAATATTTTATTATTTTTTTTAACTTCAAAGGGAAAATGTCACTGAGTTTAATTAAAATGCATCGTCCACACAATGTGCCCTAAAATAAGCTACTTGCATGCTGCATAACTAAAATTTTTTTGCACAAGGGTCAGGAAAGGAAAACAGAGAAAGGAATGTACCTTCCTTTCTATATCGAAGAGAAACTATGTCATTTTATACTTATTTTTCAAGTTAGTAAGATAAAATTAGTTTTCTGTGTTTGCATCCAAAAAGAGAAAACTAGTACAAATCAATTATAGTATAGTATTTAGGGAAGACATCACAGAAAGTGGATAATTAGATTTGAATGAGAGAAGCACAAACCAAAGAAACTCCTACTTCTTGTGCTCACCAGGTAAATTGAAAATATGACAACAGAAACCTCTAACCCACAGAGATGCTTAGCATGTAGTGCAGTTTGCCTAAGGCTATGTCAGGATATGCATCACCACCTCAGAAAGAGACGCGCTATGCCCCCCTCTCAGAGGGGATGAGAGGTCGTGTATTATAAAAGTTCAGGTGTGTTATGGCCACGCCACAGAACCAAACAGCAGCTCTTGTTCTACCCTCTTTTGACAAGGGAAAAGTAGACAGCTAGCTATAGTGATTTTCAAACACCTCATAAACTTGGAAAGGTGAATATTTCACCTGTTAAACAACTACAACTGCTGATCCCTAAAACCCTTATGAAAATTTTCAGAGCTACATGATACAAGAGCTCTGTTGCTGTAGTTTTAATTATAGATCGCCCCTTCTATCAAATCCCTCCTCTTCCTGAAGCCCACTCTTCTTGGAGGCAGGTTAAGAAAAAAACAAAACAAAACAACTCTGTTTATATATCAAAACAACGTACTCACTGAGACTATCATTCATTCTTGGTAATTTCACTTACGTATTGAATTAAGTATGTTTTATTTTCTTCATATGAGGCCCTCCCAAAAAAGGAAAATTAGTGTCAACTCTATGAAAACTTGTAGAAAATGGAAGTGAGGGTAGAAACTCAAAGTGGAAATATGAGTAGTCCTAGAATTATAAGCCTTTTCAAACAAACAAATACACATTAAAAAAAAACCCCAAAAAACATGTCTTATTTATTTATTTAACCAGTATTAGCCAAACTTCAAAAAAATCTCAGGCCCAAATTAAAAAAAAAAAAAAAAGCTCCAATGAGGAACCCAGACGTCTTGTTCTTGGGTTGCTTTTTCTAAACAGACTTGTATTCTGTGCTCCAGGCAAAGCTCTGGTGCTGACTCCCTGCCCTGCAAAATATTGTGATTCAACTATTAAGGCTGAACATCACTGTCATAGGCAAAATGCTGATATGTGTAAAAATTCCAGAAGGATAATAGTGTTTCCTTGCCATAAGAAAAATTATCGAGTTTCAGTGGAATAAAATAACATGCTACCACTAAACATATCATTGTTGTGTTGGTCAAAATGCTTTGGATTAAAAACAAAACCTTAACCTAGTCTTAGAAAGGTTCTTTTGCATATAACTGAGAAAAGGAGGCTAGTTATTAATGAATTTGCCCCAAGAACTCTATGATCTGTGTCCCTAATGAAAACTCATTAAAATAAAACTGAAAGACTCTATTATCTTATTTTATGAATAAACACAATCTAGAAAATATGCCCTTTTAAAGGCAGGGTTTATGATTGCCACATATATTTTGTGGTAGCCTTCTTCCTTTAATATGATCATAATAAGGATTGTAATGCATTGATTTATTTATGGGAAGCCCAACAGGATTGAATTAATAGATAGGATGGATGGAAGGCATAAGGGGGGGTGCGGGGGGAAGGAAAGAGGTAAGAAAAAAAGGAAGGAAGAAAGAAAGGAAGGAAGAAAGGTGGTAGAAAAGGAGGGAGTAAAAATTCTCACCAAGTCTCATGGTTTTAATTAGATAATTTTCTTAAAGGTTTGAAATGATACACTAACGAAACAACAGCCTTATGAGAAAAATTTCATTCTAGATATCTGTCAAGTAAATACTTCAACGTGATAAGTTGTTCATGGATGCACCATGATGACTCAGAACCAGGATTCTCAACTTCTTCTGTTCACTATTAAATTAACACACAAAGCAAAAAACAATTGAAAAAAAATCAATATGCTGAATGAGGGTTAAAGGCTCAAGGTGAAGTCTTGTCCTCGTTATCTGACTAAAACCAGAGTTAAGACCAAACTTGATCGCTGACAATATCCAATACATCACCTCGTGGCCGCAAGAATGTTTCCCCCATGTAGGAATCCATTAAGGTACTTCCAAGAGATCAAAGAGAAAAGAAATCCTATTAGGATAGATTAAGAGGAAGAGTTCAGACTTCTCGGGATTTTGTTGGACTTTTTGATGAGTACATCTTCGAGATTTGGGGATTGTTAATGTTACAGATTCTTCAGTGGAGTATTCGTAGTAGTGTCAGGATTCTCTAAAAATAAGGCACACGTACTCGTACATGCTGCTGATTGTCTCCCATGAAAGTGCACCAAAAGAACAATCTCAGGAAAGGGACTCGAGGAACATTTCACAGAGGTATATCTTTTTCAGCCTACTGGTTTCCTACAGATGGCTAAAGCAGGGTATGGAACATGCTGTCATATTTCATAACACACATGTACTGTAGCTGCAGGCAACAGATGGACAATCGCTTGTTTAAACTACAAATGTGAAATACTAAGGTAGTATGGCAATATTTCTAGAAATGTATATGGAAAAAAAGCCTTTCCAAGCCAAGAGGAATGGTGAGAGGCTGTGAGGTTACATCAGTGTTTCCCTGATCTCTCTGGCAGCTGCCATCATTTTCCCAACACCCTTCAAAACTTGATAATGGAGGCATAGGGGCAGCTGACACAGATTTGACAAGAGAAGCCCAAGCCATATCAAATAGAAATAACACTGTTATTCCTGGCTGGTTCACATTAATAGGATTTTTACTAACTAGGAAAACTGTTGGGAGTTGTGTTTTCAGAGTCCTGTCTATATTCCATAAAACCCTCTACTCCAGGCCCACGGTAAAAGTGCTCTCTCTCTTCCTCTGGACCCAAATAAAAACAGTTCTTTGAATGCAGTTAGAGTTTTACATACTTTAGACATCACCATAAGCATCTAAGAGGAAACTTTCACAGTGAGCAAACAATTATAGTGTTGATAATGCCACTGCATTAATCAGCATACACCCAATGAAGTAGTTTTGATCCTATAGTTGCTCCTACAGAAACACTTTGTTAATGACAGGAAAAAGAACCCACATCTTTGAGCTGCAGAACGTTCAGCCTCTCAAAGGCTTGATGCCTTATGCTGGGACACATGACTTATTTTTGAATTTTAAAGGCAATTTTGTTTGCACATGAGGCTCCACATTGAGTTAACATGAGCTGGAGATCCAGGCAATGAAGAAATCTGATTTTGAAATGGTCTGCAGAGCCTATGACACAGTGGGCTTTTTTTCCTTTTTCATGTCTCTCGTGTTACACAGAATTACCAAATGTTCGGGCTCTTGACAATTTTTTTAAAACCAGTATATTTTTACAAACATTCTCTTATAGACTCTATTTTTTTCTATTATTTATAAATTTAAATGTCAACAATTAAGACAATATATCAAAAACATTAGAATTATAATCATTAAGGTAATATGAACTTTGTATCTCTGCTATAGGCAAAATTTCATGTAACTAAAACAGTAAAGAGTGATTGGCATTTTTTTAAAATCAAATGATTAATAGAAAAGACAAGAAAGCAATATAAATCATATATTTAAGAAATCCTGGAATAAAATATTGCAGGATCCTTTCCTTATCATACCTTGTGAAAGAAAAAATCTAAACCTAAATATTTCTGCATATGTATGTGTGTACATTCATTATATAAAAGTATATAAGTCTATATTAAAAGAGATTTACTTTAAAAATCTTTGGTAAAGATACTCTGAGGTTATGTGACAAAAATGCACTATAAAGATTGTAAGCTATTATCCTGGCAATGCCACAGTGATGGGTATGTGACAGCATTTTATTATAACCTTTTTTTTTTTTTGGCTTGTAAACATTCAGTTACATAAGGACTTAAATGTAACAAACAAGTAGGATGTTATTGCATTTTTATAGTATAAATATTTCATAAATTCTTCCTTTTTTGGCAACATTTATAATAATATGACTGCTATTCAAGAGATAAAAATCCATCTTTCAATACATTGGGCTCTTTGCTTTTGGCCTCAAGACAGTTTTTCCCAAGTGTTTCATAGAAGACAAGCTACTGAAGAAATTCAAGCAGATTATATTATCAGCCCCGTTGTCTAACAGTCAGTGCTCTTTGCGATCATCAGCATGGCCTGGCCTTCAATTTGGAAGGCAGAAATTCAGAGATACAGTCACCACTGTATCCTAAAATTCACATGCTGCCCAAAGTGAATCTTGTTGTACTTCACATTATGAGAAATGTAAGATCAAGGATATGAGTAGTAAGGGAAGGAGAGGTCAGTGGTCAAAGGAAACTTCATAAAGCTACAACTTTGGTGATTCTAAAAAAAAACTGTTTGGCGCCCAAAGCAAATGAGCCACAAATTAACTTGGATGAGCTATAGTGACCATCGGCTTAAGATTTTCTTATTGGAAAAAAAAAATAAGTGAACTATTTTTATGATTATTCTTACTAAAGTAAAATAAGTTTAATTGGAATTCCTGAGGCATGGGTTGAAATTGAGAATATGCACAAATAATTTTTCATTTCTGTTTTGGATGTTAAAAATAAAAATTAAAAAAAGCCACACTAAAAAATTGGCTATCACTTTATAATCATGAAAAAGATATTTATGGAATCGGGGAAGGGTACACAGGGAAATATAATTCCATTTGTTATATTTGATTTCTTAAGCTGGGTGGTGTTACATGCATAGGGATTCATTATATTATTATTTATACTTTTGTGTATATTTAAAATACTTCATAATTTAAAAGCATATATTTGTAGAAGATCTGAAGTAAGATTTAAGAAATCTCAATGCAAAATATTTAATTAGTTTAAAAAATGGCAGCCTGCCATTACTAAGATAGGTGTCTCTCTTTAAAAGAAACATGTTAGAACCTAACAAATTGTGATTCCGCAGTTGGTAAGCAAGCATTTCACTGCCCAATAGTTTGAATAAAGATTCCAGGCAGAGACTCTGCATATTTTAAGCTCAGAAAGGCAATTTTTTTTTTTGTCAGTGATTGTCTTTGAAAGTGTGGTATGTCACATCAATGATATAAGAATGTCTCCTGCAATATGTAATTTGAGTTGCAGAAGGATTAAGAGAATAATAAAACTGTGGTTTCACAATCATTTTAAGTTTTTCTGTCTTTTTAAAGCAAACTAAACGAAACTACACATTTTTATTTTGTGTGCCCTGATTTGCAATTGTCAGGCAGAAAGGACCTGGTCCTGGGAGGAAAAAAAATTAAATTGAACTGTTCTTTATAGATATCTTTACCCGGAGAAAAAAGTCAATTTTGGTAGTCACATTTAAATATTAGAAAAAAACATGTCAATATTACTGATGAAAAGTGGGAAAGTATAGAAAATGTTATATTCCAGAGAACGCTAAGTTTGTATTATTGTGTCTAGCAAATATGGAAAAGGGAAATCTTAAGATAATATTGTGGGATAATAATGGGCTTTTCAAACATACCCCCAAAATGCATTCTCCAGCATATCCCACCTGTAATTTCTTTAGAAAAAGATTGAAGTTTGGATCTCTTTCACTAGTATATCTGTTTTCAAATGAGCCCCGGCCACTGGTCACTATAGATTTTGAATTTGGATGGTTGCAAATTAAATTTAGGCTTGCTTAACCTATGCAATTTACAGCTTAAATTCTTTATAGCCTAACATATAAACTGTGTGTTTTTCCCCCCAAGGGGGGAAAAAGATATAATTTTCAATGCACAAAGGAAGCAAGTCTACCTTTTATGATCACAGGCAACGTGGAAGTAATAGGATGGAGCCTTCAAGCCTAAAGCACCTGTGAGTTGGCAGGCTCACCCAGGAAAAACTGTGACAGCAAATACCACACTAAAAAAAGCCATTCAACCAGATGAAAAGTGAGACAAACATAGGGATTAAAAGTCACAGGAATGCAGAAGTGAATGGGATGGAGCATAATCCGTGTAAAAATGTGGAAGTCCTTGGGAACAAAGGCCCATCAAGGTCCTACATGATTAAATGTGAAATGTGTTATTTGGTAAGAATTAAAAAAAAACAACCTCATAATCTATGAGTTTCTACAGAAAGGTTACCAGTAGATGAAGATCAGAGACCATCCCATAGCTTGATTGCCTTTCCTCTATTTTCCTACTTTTCTTATATTTTTTCTTGTATTCCATTCTTCTCAGTGCTACCAACTAACCAGCTAAATGGGCCACGGAATTTAGAGGTCAGTGCTAGCCTTGGCGGTCAGCACTCTGATGCGGGCTGAGTTGCAGGTCTTGCAGAGGATATGTCCATCCAGAGGGTAGCAGCCTTGGTTATCTCCTTCCGACAGGAGACCACCACAATCCTAGAAGAAAGATGGAAATGAAGTAAGTGCACATGTAAGCTATGGATGTGGAGACCAAATTCCTTAGGTTTCCATTCAAGGTCTCCATCACGTGGCTTCTTACCTTCCCTCTTCATAGGCAGCCAGCCCCCTCCAATCCTTCCCCAGCATATAACATAGTACGTGTTTAATGGAATAGAATTAGACACTGAAGACATATATGAGAACAGTGTCGAATGGCACCCTAGGGTCACTTAATGGGAAACACAGCTACAGGAAGAGAAGAACCTATGGGTCTAGGCTCCCAAATCATCGTTTTGCTCCCCTAACCCAAACAATAGTAATAAGGACAAGAGAAAATAAAACAAGAATAGATCCTTAACCATGAACTCATCGTTACCCTTTATCATCAGTTTAAGGATCTCTCAAAAGGAATACACAGGTGCAGGGATGACATTTCTTGGCTCTGTCTAGGCAAGAGCAAAGCTGCAGAGTGACTCTGGTGAGGCAGATGGGCCAGCAATGTGCTCTATGTACTACTCCAGTGGTAGGAAGAAAATAAAACCCTAAGGTTTGTGGGGGGTCATGATTTGTGATACTTCCTAAAGGAGATACTGTGGTGCAGAGGAATGAGTGCTGGACTGGGAGAGAGTCCCCTGGGCACCACTGACACCGCCTGCATCCCTGAAGGTAAGGCTGATCGCTACTATGAAAATAATTCCTGCCTTTCCTACCTTACCAAGCTGTTGGAAGGATCGAAAGGATAGTGGATGTAACATACTTTAAAGAAAATGCAAAATGTTGCATAACTATAAAGAATTACATTACTGTTGGTAGCACATCTAAGGGTCCATTTTGGAAAGTGTTACACAACAGTTAAATGTCAGCCCTTACTTTTGGAGGAAAACGGAAGTTTCTTTAGAAAAATAAAAAAAAGTACTTCATCTAGTGGTGTGTGCCCTTGATAACTTTAGTGGAAACTCTTTTAAAAGGCCACATTTGCTGCATGCCTGGCCTCTGTTGTCTGCCATGAGAGCTAGGAGGTCACTGGGGCTCATGTCTGCATTGGACAAATAATGAAATTTAAGTTCAAAAAGGGTGTTGCTCAGAATACAATGACAGTAGCAACAGCTGCACTAGTGGGCTCCCTGGGAAGGTCGGCTGTACCAAAATGAACAAGCAGGTATTTTGCAGCTCTGGAAATATTCAAGACAGCGAGGAGTGGAACTCAACAAAGTCTTTTCATCGTAATGGAAAGAAAAAAGGACATTTCATAAATGACATGGTTTTAAGCATTTAATGAGCTAACATCTATAGTCACCTGGGCACCCTAAGAGCCTGGAGTCAACTACAATGTTGGAGCCATCAATGCCTTGAATCTTACAGCCCAAAGGAGCCCTATGGGGCGTCCAGGACAATGTCTTCATTTTAGAGAGGGGAAGTGAGGAGCAGAGAGGGGAGTGATTCACCCAGTGTGAGGTGGCATCCGTGGCAGGACTAGAACAATGGTCTGCTCGCTTCTGATTCACTGTTCCCCCCATTCTACAGTGCTGTTTCTATAGAAGTGCTCAGCATTTTAGAGCAAATTGAATTTGTACAGCTATCATTTAATCTGGGAGGGGGAAAGGTACATTTCATGCATTGCTTAGCACAAAAACTCAAACCACTAAAAGTCAAAGCCTATTGGTATGTGTGTGAGGAATGGGAAGCCTTTTTGCTTTGTGCCTCAGTTTCTCCATCTGTAAAATGATCTCTAAAGTATCTATTAGCTCTTACACACTTATGATTCAGGACAGTTTTAAAGGTGATGACTGGACAGTTGTTCCTTCTTAGCCATAAAACCTTATGTGAAAGCTGGTCGTTTTCTATGATTTTTCTCACGTGAAGGCAACTTGGGCTCCAGGAAACCACAAAGCGCACTGCATAAAATAGGTGGTCAGTGAAGGCCATGAGTGGAATGAATGCAGTCCCAGGTGCCAGCCTGGGTCTTGGGCAGATCTTGGTGGGAATAGATGAGCCAGTCTCATGAAGATGTGGTAATGAAGAAGTACACATTATCCCTCAGGTCGAAGAGGGAGCTGCAAACTGCTGTACTCAGGAGAGCTAGTAGACACAAGAAAGCTGCTTCAAAAGATGGGGTCTGGGTAACTTAGAGAAGCAGGTTAAGAAAAGATTTTAAAATCATTTTCTGAACATAGTGCCCTCTTGAGACTCAGATTATAGGGGAAAGACGTGCTGCCCTTTGCTGTATAAATGGCTGGCTACATGTCCCTTGGGCAAGAAGCCTTCCTTGTCACTTCCATCCTGGATTCCAGCTCTCATATGTATTCCCATGGCACCTTGCGCAGAGCTCTCCTATAGCGCTTAGCAGTCACCTGACCCTTGTGTGAAGTGCTCAGTCTGTGCTTGCTAACTTAATGAATCTCTGAGACTTTGAACATACAGCTTCAACCCCTATGAGAGGAATAAGTTCTTATCCTTCTCAGTGAATAACAGTGGCATCTCTGCCCCATAGGAGTATCAGAGCCAAATATAAAGATTTAGTATAACAACAACAACAACAACAACAACAATAATAATGAAACAACAACAGTAATACCTTATCCCCCTAACTTGGCACTTTATGATTTACAATGTCCTGTAATATACAAGTTTGCATTTTCGTTGCACAGCTATATTTGGGGAAGTTAAGAATGAGTCCTTTTTACAAGTGTGGAAATCGAGGCTGAGAGAGGTAGAGTGACTTATCCAATATCAGTAGCATTAAATTTGCATGTGAGATCTAAAACCCAAGTCCTGTGAACGCAGGCCCTAGTGGCTGTCCCAGATTTAATAATTACTATGTTTATGAAAACCTGGCTCTAATGGGCCCTTCAACGCCTGCCATGCAGGGAGTGGCACTGCTGACCACACACCTCACACCGGTAGCAGTGAACATGGAAATCGCGATCCAGAGCCACGATCCGGACAGTCTCCTCCTGGCCTGGGGCTGGCATGATTGGCTCCTTGCACACAGAACATCGGGGGGCAAATTTCCTGAAAATGGAGAGAGAGTTGGTTAGATACTGAGCAGAGGCACTGACAAGGAGGTGAGACACAGAGCTTAACATAAAAGGTGTAAACCGAGAGGACATCTTGTCTGCCATTCTCGTGACCACGAGCAAGTCACTTTCCTTCTCTGGGTCTGCTCCCTCAACTCTAAAATAAGAGAGTTAGACTCAGTGACTGTTCAGGTCCTTGTAGGTCATACATTTTGTGATATTGGGTGAGGTGGGGGAGTGACAGTGTGAATTGCTTATGCATGAGAGCATCTATGTTGGCCACGTGGCATATGGCATTGAATTCACCTGTGGATAGATTCCAAACACAAACCCTGGACTTGGGCAGGCTTGCCAGAGGGGAGGACGGAGGTCCTGGAGGGCCCTGCTTGTTTGGGACTTTTGCATGTGTTCCTCAGGCCCTACCCAACTTTTCTAAGTTTGGTAACTTGGTCTCATCCCCACTTACTAGAGCCTATTTCTTTGAAATGTGTCTTGAATTCTAGGAATTAAACCTCAAATGCCTATCTTTTCAAAATAGCAGAGGTTAGTGAGTTTAAATACCCTTTACACCAAACTCACTATGGCCACATCTGCACTTCTTACATTTTGGCTGTATTAAACTTTTGTTTGGAAAAAAAAAATGTTAAACTGCTGTCAAGTTCTTCATTCTTTAAAGGATTTTAGCACTTCTAAGGGTATGTGTATGTGAATAGGTATATACGTACACATCCATACACATATACATATGATTTTGAGATTAAGTGTTGGTGAGGAATTGTAATATTTCCTTATCTCTTAATATTCCTTAATATGACTGATAGCCATGAAATTTTTCTTCTCATAACAGACTAGTAGGCTGCAAATATAGGCCATGCATCCATCTGTATGTTGTAGAAATTAGGGGTGGCATTTGTGAAGGTGTGAAATGAGACACAATTTGAAATGGGTATATAGATAAGAAGTGAAAAGATGTTTAAAAAAAGAAAAACAGTTGAATAACACTGTATGTCAACTATAATTATATATACATATAACCTCGGGACACGGAGTAGAGTGCGGGAACGGATTCAATGGAATTGTAATAGATAAGCATGATATGNAGTAGAGTGCGGGAACGGATTCAATGGAATTGTAATAGATAAGCATGATATGGGGGTGGGAGGGCAGTGGATGGGGGGTGGGGGGTTGTTACTTTGTGAGGGTGAAAAGGGTAACTATTGCATTGTTCTGTACACCTGAAACTAACAATAAATAAATAAATTAAATTAAAAAAAAAAAAAGAAAAAAAAAAGAAAAACAATTTGTACAACTCAGTTTTTTCATGGTAATGGTTTTAAGATTAATGATATTAAAATTTATTTATTTGTAGTGAGACTTAAAAGAAATAATGATAGTAATCTAACACTTTGCAGAGCACTTTATGGTTGTCAAAGCATTTTTACATACATTATACTCTATATGTACATATTAATTTTCCTGGCAGCACCCAAAAGGCATCTATCTGTATGACTGCAATCTAAATAAATATGAATTAAGTAGCAGATCAATTGATTGCTATGAAATAAAAATGAAAAGAATCATGTGCAATCAGAGTTGTTATAATTGGTATTTTATGCAAGAAGTTTATAGTCATTGGAAAAAAAAATTGCTTTGGAGTACCTGATAATTTTTGAATCTGGGTCACCCATAGTGATATAACCAGGGTTTTGAAATCAACTGCAAAATTTCCTTTCCCCAAACCCACTGTGACTATAAATTCTGTGAGGTCAGAAGAATGTCTTGCCTATCACTGTATCCATGAGCTTTACCCAATTTTCCAAGTAGGATTACTTACTCCTCTAGAATAAAATATCTTCAATTGCATATGCCTATTTTAGTAGGACTTATTTGCATATCTCTTGGGACCACTAATCTGTGACTGACCAAAAGACAGGATTTGCTCCATCTCTGAGTCGCCAGAAACAACCATTGTGACTGGTGTAGAGAGTAGAAATTCAGGCTACATCTAATGAAATAAAATATTTGCCATGTTTCTCTATAAAAAGATGTAACTTGGGCCTTATGTTCAATCTCAAGGTCCTTCCTCTTTGGAAAGGCATAAACTGTATTCTTGCTGAGTAATGGTTTCTTCCTACCAATTGGCCTCATTTCCATGATGGAAAAAAAGCAAAGTGAAGAGACAGGAAGTAGTTTCCAGAGTCTTCATAGTGTTTCTTGGCCAGCATTTCAAGGATTGTTCAAAATCCTAGGTGGTCTATTTCGAGGTACAGCTCACTGAGCAGACAATAATAATAATAATAATAATAATAATAATAATAATAATAATAATAAAAATAATAAAATGAATTTGATAACACTTTTGATGGCTAAAATAGCTACCATTTATTGAGTGCTTATTATGTGCCAAGCTCTGTTAAGCACTTGACCTTATTTTTCTACTGACAGCAACATTATGAGGAGCTACTTTTATCATTTGTACTTTACAGCCATGGGAGCCAAGGCTCAGGGAGGGATGGTCTTAATCATCTTGTGTTCCGGCACATTTCTGGCAATCAGCAAATGGATGCAGATGAAACAAAGAAATGGATGAGTGTACTATGCCTGATAAGAAAGCACAGGTCGTGGCTTAAAGGCTCAACACAATGAAAGGGTCAGTTAAATAAGCCTGCTTTTCTGGACTCACTGTACTGGCACTGGGAACACAGACATAAACTAGGACTCCCGAAATCAGACCGATGAAGGAATTCTGCCTATTTCTGCATTTGTTCCATACACACACACACACACACACACACACACACACACACACACACACACA